TTTTTCTCTCTCGCTGTAAATCTTCCCGGAAAATGGAAATTTTCTCGGAAAGCGGGATATAGTTGAAGAGAGAATTTGCGGGAAGAGGTAACGTCTTCAGGGTTTCGCTTCTCTTTTTATATGTATTAATGCCTAAATATATAAAATTTCAATTCTTTTACCTACAGAATTTTTTTTAGTACATTGTGTGATGGGATGGTGGGATCCATTTTTTTATTGGAGATATATATCAATTATTATTGAGTTAGGTTCGTTTTGATATTGTATCGAATCTTTTTCAATTAAGCCTTTTTCATAAATAAATATAGTAATTTTTGTAACTTGTTAATTTTGTATTAACAAAAAGCAACTTCAAGTAAGCAGGATATGCATAAATTTTTGTTTAATAAATGAGTGGTATATATCATTTGTTTTTCTAGAAATACTAGTCGATCTCTATAATTGGGTTCGAACACAAGACCTCAAGAGCGTAAATCTTTGATAATTTTATCAGTATCGAATTATTTGTAAATGGATCTATTAAAAATGGAAAATGCCCTATATATATAGGGTTTGAATCCGAATATGCATTTAATTATGACAATAAAACGTAATAAATCCTTTTTATTACAAAAGTTTATTCAAATAATATTTAGGTAGGAAATTTCAATCAATTAAATCTTTTTAATGATTTCATAAGTGATATTACAAGACGTGTGTCCTTGTCACTGCACCATCTCGCATGGGACCAGTGGATGGTATATATCTACTATAATTTATCGGATTAACTTATATAATATTTTAATATTTTGTGCCAATGAAAATTTAATTGAAATAAATTAATAAAAGACAAAATTTCAAATTTCAAATAATTACTAACTCAATTAAAAAGAACAAAATTGAAAGTCTATATTAATCAAGTGGAAAGTTAAGCGTGGTTTGTGTGAGTGTCAATCGAGCATGGTTTAGTACAGTAAAATAAATAAGACATGAAACTTTCTTTCCTTTTTTTTCTTTTTTAAGTAAAGGTTGAATTCTAATACTATGGCTATGGGCCACCATATATATCTCTATTCGATACTGTTGTTTGTTAATGTTAGGAAAATTATCAAAATGCATTAAGTGGGGGATAGGTTGTCTGTACTCTTGAGACACTGTCGAGTATTTTTTCAGGAGTGACTTTGTTTGGTAATATTTTTTTTTCTCGTTATCTAAAATCTTAAAATAAAAAGTTAATTTTTATATAAAATTTAATTGTTTAATTAATATTTTAAATATTTATTATTTATTATGTATTTTATAAGTCAATAATCACTATAAGAATTTATAGTTTTTCCGACGTTGTTTTTGCTAATGTTCGAAAAGTCGTCGAGATAAGTTCTTTTTCTCAACGAAATCCATAATGTAAGGAAAAAAGCACTTCTCCTAATATTTTTAGAAAAACGACGTTGGTGGCTTCTAAAAAAGATCGGGAAAAAGTTAATATTTCTGATCAACACTTCTCTAAATCTTGAAGAATAATGATTTAAAATAATGCCAAAAAGAATCTAGGTTTTTTAAATCTTCAAATATCTTTTAAGGTAGAGTAGATTTCATAAAAAAAAATGATATTGCTTTTTATAGGATCTTCTAGCTTGGCTACTCTTAAGCTTTTTCAGGTAGAGTATATTTCATTAAAAAAAATGTTTTTTTTTTCCTTTCAAGATCTTCTACCTTGGCTACTCTTATCTTTTTTTAGGTGGAGTATATTTCATAAAGGAAAGAACACGACACATTTATTTTGTAACTTTGGTAACTTTTGTAATATTTATAACTTTTGTGCAAGAAGATTATTTTTGTTTAATATAAATATCATCTTATTTGATATTTTGATACATAAATTTAATGTGAATTGAAATACCTAAATTAGGTCTTGTGATTCAAATTAACAGGGATGAAAATGAAAAAAAAAATATCCTAACTCGTTTTAGAAAAATATTAGAAAAAGTCAATTTTACCGACTTTTTTCTAAAAGGTCGAGAAAAGTGACTTTTCTTGACCTTTCAAGTTAAGTTTACCCGACCTTTTGAATAGAAAAATGACCTTTTCAAAAAGTCGGAAAACTTAACGTTTCCGATCTTTTTTGAAAAAAATTTAGGAGTGACCTTCTTCGACGCACGTTACTCAACGTTTTTCCCCGACGCATTTATTTYGTCAGAAAAAAGTTACTTCCGACATTTTAAAATTTTTTTCATGATACAATAATGCTCATATTTTATGTTTTTTTTTGAAAAAAAAATGAAAATAGGAACCCAAGAAATTTATTTTATGTTACAAAATTTTGGAAACACATTTTAAAAATAATGGAAAACTTTCTTAAAAATAAGAAAAGAGAAACATAGAGAGTCACGAAACACTTAGTATCCATTTGGTAACGTTCTCATTTCTTGTTCTCATTTTCTATTTTATTATGAATCCTAAACATTTTGCAACTAATTATGTTTTTTATTTCTCATGAAATCATTATTAAAATTGTATAAAAATTTTAGAAACAAACTATGTTGTTTCTTATTTACGTCTTAGTTTTTTACAAAATATAAAGATAAATATTGTTGGATCATTTTGAATGGACGTTAAGTCATGTAGTTCTATTTTTCTTTACTAAAAATGAGAAACAGGAATAAGAAATATAAACATTACCAAACTAGTCTTTATATTTCTAAAAAGAATTAGAAACAAAAAGGAAGAAAGATAAAAAGTTATTAAATGGGTCCATAATTTCATAAGCAAGAAAAATGGGTAGCTATGTTGCATGCATAACGTTGTATGGAGACGATTACAAAGCAGCACGTTTTTGTTTCCGTGAGATGTAGAGAGAGAAACAGACGGGGAGGATAAGGTTGTCTTTTCCTTTTAATTCGTTAAGAAAAAGCCTCCAAAAAATATACAGCGTGAGAAAATAAAAAATATATATTATCGACGGCGCCGGCCGGCGCCGGCCTTCAGCTTGGAGATGAGATTCATTGGATTGGATTGTGTTGTGTTACGCACCATCGGCGGTTTTGTTGGCGGCTTCCTCAACAAACATACTCGTTCAATTCTCTGATTATTTTATTCAAAAGGCATGCTTTAACAAAAATAATAGTATAATAATAATAATAATCTAAAACTTTTTAAAGGTTTAAAATATACCTATTTTTGTTTTTCAACTTTTAGGAAATAACAATTTTGCCTTTTCAAAAGACAATATCATTGATAACTCAGAATTTTGATTCTTGAGGTTTTTTTTTTTTTTTTAATTTCCTCATTTGTTACTTGCTTCGACTCAACACTTAGTCTTAATTAATCGCTTGTAACTTTAAAATATCTAATTGTTACAAAATTGATAACAAAATATAGATATTCTCACCCTTGTCTTGTTCATTACCCATCGGGTGAATTTCGAACTATCTAGTTCGATTGACCTCCAATTTACGCTTCAACAAAAGAAATTAATCCATAAACTAAAATGAGATTTAAAATTTTTTTTTTAATTACAAGTTTAGTTTATGAATTTCTAAGGTCAACTTGTTAGACATTTTTGAACTTTTTCGGAACTTTTTAAGCATCAGCCTTTAGTTTGATAATTATTTTCTCTTTTTATTTTCTATTTTTGAAAATTAAGGTAGAAAACGTTATTTTCAGTATAGGTATTTTTTTGTCCTACAATCTACTTTTTAAAAACATTTTCATATCTAATCAAAACTTTAAAACTTWAAAAAAAAAAAAATCAGAAACCATTTTTTTTTCAAATTTGACTAATAATTTAATTATATTTAAAAAAATGAAAACATATCAAACAAATTAGAAGCAAATAAACATGATTTTAAAAATATAAAACTAAAAACAAAATACAAATTTATTAGACCCAACTCTCAGAAGGTTGAGGATGAAAACTTGTAATTTAACAAAAATGCTTTTTTGACTTTTGAAGTGTGAGATGACATTTTTTTCCAATAGAGAATCTTTTTTCTTAATCTTGCTCCAGCTTTATCTAACATTTATAATATATTTATTAATTCTTTTGATTTATATATTTTTTATGGTAAGAATCATTAAATCTTTTTTTATGAAACTAGGTTTAAAACGATGAATGATTTAAAAGATTATGGCAGTAATCTGTATGTTCATAATCACACTTGGTTGGTACAAAATTTGTTTTTTCATAATATTTTTTAGGATATATGGGAGTATCCGGACCAGCTAGCGTGCACCTCTAGCTTGGCCATTCGATTAAGGTTCTTTCAATCAAGAAAGGAGAAAGAGAACTCTTATTCATCCGGAAGTGACTAATCTCAAGTACGGAAACACATAAGAATTATTAACTCCTAAGGTTGGCCATCATGTGATTTGAATTCATTCTGTCTCCATTAACCATTCATTCCCTCTCAATTAATCCTAACTCTTTTGGACCAATTAACCACCCATGATAGTTTGATTTTTTTATAAATTAAGGTGTTTAAGAGTGATTTTGGCATGGTCAAAATCACTTTTGTCATTGTCAAAATCACTCCATTTTACATTGATCATGTTTGAAAAATTAAAAATTGATTTTAAGAAAACTTAAAAGTGTGTTCAGAGTGATGATAGAAGTAATGATTTAGAAAAAAGAGATTTAAGAATAATTGAGTTTCTAAAATCACCACCCAAGTTATACCTTAAAAACCAATTTAAGTGATTTTATGTTTCCTAAACTAGACTTTTAATTTGTCAAACATATTCAATAGAAATGGAAGTGGTTTTGTCATGCTAAAATCACTCTCAAACACACCATAAAATCACTTTAAATTGATTTTTAAAGTATCCCTTAGATATTGATTTCTCAAACACAGCCTAAATCATTGAAACAAAGCCCTGCTTAATCAGAACCCTTACCTAAATTGTTGAAAAATCCTGCATGAATTAAACAAGTATTACGGTCAAATTTGAAAGCAATGGAACCTATCCAACTAAAAACTACCTCAGGAGAGGAGACTATAAATTAAATTATTTAACTGTTGGAGTAATCTTGAAAAGAACCTTTAATAAAGTGGAAGGAACAACAATTTCTGCCACAAATATACAAGGAATACCACATACATGGGTATCCCAAGAGTCTTTGTAAATAGTATTGTTTTGTACCTACCAAATCTATTAAATTTTTATTCTAAAGAATAAAAGGTCAAGCGACAAGAAAAGTTCCCGCTGCAGATCGTAACAGCATATGCAAGAGTCGAAACGGAGGGTAGGCCTCTGTATAGCATCAAAGAACCATATTGCACTGAACCAGTAGAGATTCTCCATCTAAAATTGTCAAGGAGGTAAACGGTACCTAAAAGCACAAGTAAAGACATTACACTGCAATATGGATTATATATCACAAATTAAACATCTTAGGTTGAAGTTTCAAGTCCTTACCTTGACCTGTTTTAGAAATTTCACATTCATTATGGTCTTGATGTCCAAGCTGCTTCCATTCTCTGCAACTGCAGTTAAGGAAGAAGAAACCAAACCATGCCTTTTCCTAGAAAGCACCTGACCTCCACCTTAAAGCCATTTTGTCCCATTGCATCTATGGACTACAGATCAAGTTTGCAGTTCCCAGAATCAGTAATAAGACTAAAAAATTCTTAGATTGGGCATTGATTGAGCTAGAGAGTAAAAAAGGCAAAGCTGAGCTTAATACTGTGCGGGCGAGATAGCTCATCATAAGTGTCATGGGTCAACTTCATCGCATTGAGTGATGGCAGTTGACGGGACTGAAAGCAAAGAGGATCTATCAGAAGGTAACTGAAGTACATCAGAAGATTCAGAACTCTAGATGCACAGCCTTGAACAATATGTTTCTGCAGTGCTTCCCAAAATAAAGTATGTAATTTTAGTAAACCAACAATAACTACTAGAGAAGCGGTAGGATTCAGAAACTACATCCTAGAGGTAATCTTACCTGATAAGAATGTAAACAGTTAACCAATAAGCAAGAACACAAAAGGCTATCAATTGAATCAATTTGCCAATAGAGAGATTGGCCTGCTTGCTAAAAGGTGTAATATTTGGGCTACAATTATATATTCGCTTTTTTAAGACAACACAAGATTCGTTATAACTTTGCAACAACATAATGATTAATGAGACTGTAGGAATAAGGTAAAGGATATAAACAATTGTTAGCATACAAGTTAATAATGCAGCAAAATAACAAATAACTTCACTGCTGTGAGTCTGAAGTTTTGCTGCCATTAGCAGAAGCATTCCAGAATCTGGGTTGCTGCTCCAGGAACGCAGGTAGCCGCTGAAACACAATTGAAGCTGCCTTGATCAAGATACCAGCGGTAAGAGCCCAGATCACATACTTTTCATTCTTATATTCATAGTCAAAAAAATGTAACAGATAATTATATCCCATCCATTCTTTCTCCACTGCTCTTCTCTTCTCATCCTGTGGCAACTTTAATGTGAGATTAGTGCAGAATGAATCACCAACCATTCTGTTAATTTAATCTAATCAAAGTAACATAGAGAAAGTATGAGGAACTTATCAACCTTGAGGAACATTTCTAATGGAACATCAAATATTGCATCTACTTCAGCAGTATTTGGAGTTGGATTGAATGCCTTCTTGCTAGATAACAGGCCAAGCACAGGAACTACGGTCATACCCTTCTGCACAGAGAGAACCATTCATCATAAATTACATGGTGAAAAATTAATATATAGGTTGCAGTAGACGATGAAGAACAGAAAGGTTCAGAATTAGCAACAAGATGCAAAAGATGGCATAAAATTTATACTCTTACAGATCAAGAGACCTCAGACAAGCGATTTATGGTTCAAATAAAACCGAAAGAGCTATACCTTGAATCAAAACGATGGTCTTGCCTCAACCAAATGCTTTATCTAATCAGGAAAGTCTAAAAGTTCCCTAGACAAGGTTAAATGAATATTGGAAAGGAATGTGATCCTATCAATAAACTAGATAGAGTACAGATAGTTGTGGATTGGAACATATCTCTTATGAAAAGGAACAAGAGAAATCTGAATACCATAGGTTATGACTTGGTATGATAACCTAAAACTCCCGCAAATCAGTCGGCAAGTTAGTACACCAAAAACGTTCTGATCCCAACAACGTTTGATGAATAACAAGTTAATATTCCTTTACACACCAAAAGAAAGTAGATTGTGCAGTCAATTCCCTACATGAACCAACAGAATCTAAGCTTAATAGTAAAAACAAAAAGTATGTAAACCTTATTAACAAATGGTTCGAGAACAGAGACGACTTCAACAAGAGCAGGGGCTAAGCCAATTTCCTCCTCCGCCTCCCTCAACGCTGTGGCAACATCATCGACATCACTGGGGTCCCTCTTTCCGCCGGGGAGTGCAACTTCCCCTGCAGCCAAATACCAATCATCTAATCGCAGTCCTATCCAATTGCCCTCCAAGCGGTTCCAATAGCACAGTGATGAATTAGGGTTTATACCACAATGATGAAATTAGGGTTTTGGAGCGAGACTCACCAGAGTGGGAAGAAAGCGTGGAGGCCCGCTTTGTGAGAATGACGCGGATCTCACCGTAGTCGCCTAGAAAAAGGCAGATGAGAACAGCTGCACGGTTGGTAAATTGGACTGCCGCCGGAGTTGGTGGCGGCGACGGCAGGGACTGAGAAGAACTGCCGGTGCGGAAATGTTCTGCTAAAGTCTGCAGCCTCTGGAGAACGTCCTCTCCAGCGCTTTTGGTGGCCATGCGGAATCTCTTCTCCTATGCTTTCTTCATCAACATCAACTGCATCTATTTGGTGGGAAAATTTATCCGACCAAATTTGCGACAGTTACAAAGACAAATTTACCAATGTGATTTTTGGAAGTCATATTTGTGGATAATTCTTTTTCTTAAAAAAATTAAAAGAAAATGATCCACAGCTTTTACAACAGATGTGGATTGAAGATGTCGATATAATTATTTATTCAAAATTTTAGATTTTATTTCATAAAATTAAAACTTTGATGATGTCAATATAATTATTTATTCAAAATTTTAGATTTTATTTCATAAAATTAAAACTTTGATGAAGAAAAAAATGGATCAATGAATTCAAATTTCTAAGTTCCAATATTTAGGAAAGTAAATAATGACATGATGGATTGAGGAGTTAAATTATGCTCATATCATTTGAAGGATCAAAGATTGAAGTTATGCTAATAATTGTATTACATGTTAAAAATAATTGTACAATAAATATCATCATCAAATGATGGAGCTCTATTTTAGATAACAAAATTATTATGTCCACCCCCACAAGTAGGAGGTAACAAATAAACATATTATTTATATACATTTGAAATTCCATCCTCATAAAAAAAATAATGTAATTTTTTATGGGTGGGTGGTTGAAAATTTTCAACTGATTCATTGGTAGAAGGTTATGAAGTTAAAAAAAATAATAAAACATATATATTTCGTTTCACAAGAAAGAGATAAAAAGTTTGGGTGAATGGTAAACAAACTTTTGTAATTTTTGTCTCTCTTTTTTAAATTAAGTTTTGAAAATGGTTGCTAACTCTCTTTTTTTTAGTGAAAAAATGGTTGCAACTTTTAATAAAACTTAGTTATATTTACATTTTTTTAGTCAAACAATTTGGAAATATGATTATCGAACCTTCAACCTAATAAGAAGTGCATAGTTGAACTATACTCTGAACCGAAATATGATTATCGAACCTTCAACCTAATAAGAAGTGCATAGTTGAACTATACTCTTATTGGTTCAGCTCACATATTGGTCAATTTACTTGGGGCCAATTTAATTGAAATGGGTGATAATTAAAGATAAGTAATAAATTCTCATTTCAAACATACTAAATTAAAGAAAAAGAAATAAAAAATGAGGGGCGAACTTCCATCTTGAAAATCCTCCTTGTTGGGTTAAGTTTTGTTTTCGTTATTCTAACCTCTCGGCTCTAATTCATTCGTTGGAATTCAAGATTTTGTAATAAGGAACTTCTCTGCTTTGGGTCCAATGATTTACAAAGCCGCATCGATGGAATTTTTAGACCAGGAGGCCCTTCTTTAAGTAGGAGTAATTTAGGTCTTGTTTGGTAAAATTTTTGTTTCTATTATTATTTTGTCATTTTTAGTTTTTAGTTTTTTTATTTTTTTTAGATAGAAAGAAGGATGTGTTTGGTAACCATTTTTGTTTTTTATTTAAAATATATATGCAACCAAAAATATATTTGATAATTCTTTCTTATTTTTTATTTTATTTTGAGTTTGTTTAAGTATAATACTTTGTGTACGTGGAGATTCGAACCCACAACTTCTTGACTATATAAATTTTAACTTAAATTGATTTATTTTTATTTTTTGTCAAAATAAAATTTAGTAGATATAATATACAAATATATAATATATATTCTAAGAATATAATTAACTAAGGAAATTATAATTTATCATATAAATTTACTAATATAAAAGTATAAATTATTAGTTTTAAATAAAGAATAAATATTTTTAATTTAAAAAGTAGAAAATGTATATTCTTTTAAGAAAATATAATTAGCTTAAAAAATAAAATTTTAAAATATTTTTAATTTAATAAAAAGAAAAAGATATATTTTGTAAATTATAATAGCTTAAATAAAGATTAAAATTCAAAATATTTTCAATTTAATAAATAGAAAGTAATTGTTTTTGTTTAAGAAAATATAGGAAAAAAAATATTTTTCTCGAGAATTGGACTTGGGCCGCAGTATCGAGAGAAGTGAAAAATAGGTGGATAATTGTACCAACACATCAAAGCCACATTTGGCTAAACGAAGTACAATATAGTATTTATATTAAAGCCGCGCATGAACACAAAATTAAAATTAGAAGGAAAAGAAAAACCTGAAACAAGATAAACGAAACTTTTTTTTTTTTTTTAGTTTTCAAAATTGGGCTCTGTTACTCTTAGAAACGATAAACAAAATAGATTACCAAATGAGTATGTTTCTGAGAAAAAATGAAAAAATGGGAACAAAGAATAGGAAATCAAAATGTTACCAAATGGACATTTTAAGTAGAGGTTTCTCATCCTTCAAGATCTGGGAGTAGCAACCACGAGTAATCGGTAACTTTCGAGAACGTCAGTTTTTGAAAATTTTTGTTTTTTTCTCTTCCAAATTTTTCTTGAACTTCAACCTGGGAAATAATTAAATTAACCTTTGGTAAAATTAACTCTACTTGCAATCATCAGATTTATTTGAACTTCTCTATCATATGGATTCTCAAAGTTTTCTTGACAATGGAACTTTTAAGATATAGAATTAATATATTATAAAAGTGTATAGTGTTAGATATAAAATTTACATATAGTTCCGTGGCAATTGCATGCGCCAGCGCCAGCCCCTCCTCCTCACCCATGCCGTTCGGCTAGGTTTGAACGTGCACCTGTTCCTAATTTTCCCAATTCAATCTTTCTGTAAGTTTTATAAAGTCGATTTCATTTGTAAAGAAATTATAGATTAGGTCAATTTAAAAAGAAAAAAAAAACTGCAAATTTTCTAACAGAGTTCGTAAAGCATATTTATAATATAAAAAAGAAAAAAAAAATATCGAGGTTCGAAATTACTTTTATGAATTATGATTACTCACTTGTGTAAATTAGTCTGAAACCCTCAATTGAGATTATTCCATCACCATCAACCAATTAAATTGCTCAAGAATTTTCAACGAGGCTCGTAAAATATACTAGAAAATTAAACTTAATCTTATTCAATAATTATTTTTAAATTATTATTTAACAATATTAGAATAGAACTTCTTGGACTTCATTTTTCAATACAAATCAGAACCCATATATTTCAAGTTAGTGTGTATATATATATGTTTCAAAGTTTCCAGAGTTATTTTTTAAGATGACTGGGTAGAATATTTATATGTAGAGACAAAATCTTTAATTTTTATAAACAAAGGGAGGCAAACAAGAAAAGAAAAGAAAAGTTAAAATTCAGGTCTGTAAGGATAAACTTTTAAAGATATTTTTAATTATGAAACGATACTAAAAGAAAATTTATTTCTTAAGGAATTAAAATTGTAGAAAATTAAAAGGGAAATTAATTAACATAATTGAGATTACAATTTAAAAGTAGTGGGGTTTAAAAGAAATCACATGGTGTTAAAAAGAAAAAGAAAAAGAAAAATGATATGGTTGAAAATGAAATAGATAGAAATGTGCATGATGATGATGATTGTGGGGATGAGCATATTAGCCAGCAGCTTTTTGGTTACAAAGCTGTTAGTTGCCTCATTTGGTGAGGTTATTGAACATGTTCATTTGTGCATGTAAAGCCTCAAACTGCAACTTTGAAGTAAAACAAAGACGTGGGACCATACTCCTACTTCTGTACTTCTATCTGAAAGTGATGGTCAATTATTGAATTCACCACACACAACACGGCCCTATATGTTCTGTTCATTTTCATTTGGACCACCCCGATCCAATTTTCCTCTCCATTTTTGTAGGGTTGAGATTCGAATGGCTGGTAATATATGTTTTAATCAGTTGAATTATGTTTACATTGATAATTTTATTATCTATTTATTCTTCACTCGAACTCTAATATAACATAACGGTTAGAAATGCAAAATTAACTAAAGAAGCGAGACGGGCTTTTTTGACCGATCTGAATTTTTGGGTTGGACATATCAAATAATCGAGAGACTCGAATTTAATGGACAATCTAATCAAAAATTTTCAAGTTCGGTTGGCTCGAACTCGCGACCTCCGGCTCATAAGATCAGCGCTCTAACCAACTGAGCTACGGGACCTACTGATGTTGTGTAATTACTGTTTTATTTGAGGATAGCCAACGGATAAAATAGGGAGCTTCAGTATTTATTTTGAACCCAGAAACTGTGGACTGCTTAATTGAGCACCGAACCATTTGCAGCTGCTCTGCTATTTTTACAGCTATGTATCGTGAAGTTGTACCATTTTTTTTTTCTTTTTTAAACTAAAGTTTTAGTAGTAGGATATATTTCAAACTACAACTTTACCAGTTTTCAGATAAGTCATAGAGTATATAATAATGTTTATAGATATTATATATCAACTGCTCTCTGTAGCAACAATAAAGTAAAAAAATGAGTATACAACAATAAGAAAGTATTTTGAAAGGAAACTACTTAGGTTTTGACTTGACTGGTGTGTCTATCTCTACGCCGACCATCATTGACCGTTCATTATTTTTAATTTTTTTTTCTTTTTGACATTTTTATCTCCCCCTCTTAATTACTTCATCAATAGAAAGCTTTTATTGAGTAGAAAAGCGTACTTATTTTATGGATTCTAAATATACTATTTTCTTTTTCCTATTGCAAAGAAATTTCTAAAAAATGAAAGACAAAACTCCATTAAGAAAAACCATGATGTTAAAGTTATTAATGAATTTACACCTTTATTGCCTGCTTCCATGTGAGTTTAATGCCTCCACGATTTCCAGCTTAATTCAATATATAATTCCACAAAAAAAAAAAAAAGCATCAAAGGAGAAACAGTTTCAGTTTTCTAAGTAAACTTGTCATACACCAGCTGTACTACAAGTTCTTATTAATATCTATATATATTACAATCTTTTGATTTGCCAGTACATTTGAAAGAATCTGCTGGGTTATTTATAACCCAATGTCACAAAATAATATACAATTCGATTCTCTATGATTCTCAAAAGCAAAAACCATTAATATAACCTATATTTAGATTATGTCCAGCTGTGATCTAATTAAAAATAGATCACAAGTACTTTAATGGACTCATTTGGGGAAAGAAAGCCATATATCCCTACAACCTGAGGATTTTAATTAGGATACTGCATTCGAAACCATGAATTAATTTTCTTCTGAAACCTTAAAGAATAAGATTCAACCATAAATTCCTCAAAGAAAACAAACCTAAAAGATAAATAACCTGTCTTTATTGAATTTTTATCCAAAAATAGAAAATCATTTATAAAAAAAAACATCACAGAAGAATTCAGATCTGTAGTAGTGTAAATGGGATTTGAATGTAGTGAAACGAAAATCCCATTTACCACAATACCACAGTACTCAACCAGTTAAAATTCAATACAAAGGTAATCTTTTTGTTAGACATATAAAATTCAAAATTTGAATAAAAATCTCAGACGAAACATCTTAAACATTTTTATTATTGTGCTGATCCACAATTAAGTCTATGGATCCTTAGAAATGGTATAGTCGTTTAATATATTGTATCCCGTAGCGTCGTTTCAGATTATAGGTCGAGTCAAGTATTACAACTTCTTCTACCCATCCCGTATATTGTCCTTTTTATTCTGTCTTGGAAAGATCAGAAGCTCGAATCTTCATTTCCACGCGCTGAACTCAAGAGTGTATATACGGAGAGTCAAAGGAAAAGGTTTGAAAATGAAATGAAGATGGGTGAGTTGTGATTCTGTTGATGATTAGATAAGATTGGATGTCTCTCCCATAGGCCATGTGAAGGCATTTTGCTGCATTGGGTTGGCTGAGAGAGAGCTTGGGGAAGCCCCACCTACCTCACCTAAAGAATCTGACATTGATTTTTATGGAAAGATTTGGTGTTAGAGAGAAGCTATAAAACTTTGAATCTCTTCCAATCTTTTGCATCTTTGGAAGGTTTTGAACATGTAGATTGGTTCCCATATGGAGCTTTCTTTGCTGCATTTACATCAAGATGCTTACCCATTCATCATAATTCATAGTCATATACAGCTAAAGATTTATTTTTTTAATGCTTTTAATTTATTGGGTTTTTTTTTTTTTCTCTTTTGGATTTTCTTGCCCATATGATCTCATGTGGGTAATTATCTATTAAACATGTAATTGTTTAACTTTTTCAGGGCTAATCCCAAAAAATTTGTGGGAAGGGCAAAAGTGTAGGCAGGTGAGTGTGTGCTCTTCCTTAATTAAGCCAAGTGGAATTAGGGTAAATAAGTCGAAGGACAAAAGAAAAAGGTCTTTTATTATTATTGTAATTATTGATGGTCAGAATGCTAACATAACTTTACATAGTTTAGAAGTTATAAAGATGTTGAGTAGAGAGGAATGTGAATAAGGCTTGTCAGCCTAACAAACTTTGGAATAGTAGTTGGTAAAAAATGAGAACCAAAACATGTATAGGAAGGCCTGTCAAACGCAACGAGACCTATTAAGACTAGTCTTATAACCACATATGCATACAAAAAATAATAAATAAATATTGTATACCTCACTTACCATACATTCATCGGTTCAAACATTATATCTTTATAAAATTACTAAACAAAATATGTTTTTGGTGGTTGCTTTAAATGGTATATATTATCTAATTGGAATTTGACGATATTAAAAAACATTATTATTATAAAAAATGACTTCTTCAAGCTCATGTATTAATGTTTCCATTTAACTATTTTTTGTTATTTCTTCTCTTTTGAAAAAAGAAATAAAATATATGTTTGGTATCTATTTATTGAAAAAAAAAAAACAAGGAACGAACTGTTTCCTATTCTCTCAAATATTAAAGTTAAAAAAGTTTATGTGAAAATTAATTTTTGAAAGTAACAGTGTACTTTTATTTATGTATTTGAAAACTTAGAAACCAAAATTAAACAAGAAATTTTGTTTTTGTTCTTTCCCAAATTTATATACAGTTTTGGAACTTTTTTTTACGAATAAGAAATGAGAAACAAGAACGATTACCGATATCTTATATTTTTTCAAAACTATAAACAAGAAACATGAAAGGAGAAATATGAATGGTGCCAAACAACTCCAAAGAAAGTAACTTCCAAACCTAAACCTGAGGATACTTCAGAATCTCTTTGATTGATGATTTGAGAACTGAATCATTTCTTTGTATGTGAGAATTTGAATTTTATCGACATGAGTGTTTTATATAAAAAAAAATCCCAACTAATCCAGATTCAATTTAAACTTTTACTTTAAACTAAGTAATATTAGAACATGTAAGTTTTTAGGAAGATAATGGGTTTGTCACAATCAATGATATATAATTAATACACACAATTTCGAAAAATCAATTTGAACAACCCGGAGTTGTATTCTTAGCCAATTATTTAAACGGTTTCTGAATTATACATAATGAATTTTGATTTTTCTCAAACTTGTATTTGTAATAATATCAATTTAATCCTCAAAATCACCATTTAGCTTAAGAATATCTTATTTGTCTATATATGAAACAACCTTTACTGATTCTTTGACTTGTACTGTTAATTATTTAGCTGGCCAGACAAGCTGCTAATAACTTCCATATATTTTCACCAAAAGAAAACTTCCTTTTATAAAAAAGAATATGTATATATATATTATAATAGTAATAGGGATTCAAATTTCAATTTCAAATCTAATTTGATAGCAAACATGTCAATTAAAATGAATAATTAATTTAAAATCAGTTTCATAAAATAAAATGATAAAATGATAAATATTATGCTAAATTAAGTGATATCATTTCTCTTAATGTGGGATCAAAGAACCTCCAAATTGTTTTTGGATTCTGTAATCCAAATAGTAAAAATTATGAAAACAACTTTTTTATGTTGGTAGTATTTAATTATATTTTAAAAGAAAAAGACTTTGATAAATACATTATTTTATGTTATAAACTTATTTCAATTTTTTTGTTAAAATTAAAACATGTAAAACATAATATATTGTAAATTATATAATATTGTAAAATACTAATTCTAACAAAATTTATACATTTAGGTTAATAAATTAATTAATAAAACTAAATATTTGTTAGGTAATTAACAACTTACAAATATATTGCAAAACACTTTTAGACATTGATTACCATTTTCATTTTACCAGAAATTTAAATGTTCCAAACATTTGTTTTCTGATCATTAATTAAACGCACCCAAAAAATTCCTACTCAGGATTATATTAGCAGGGGTAAAAAATATTTGTAAAATATACTTATCCAATAACCGCAATAAGAAAATAAGAAATTGCGGGTAAATGCATCTTGGTATATTCCTCTTTCCACAAGGCGAAGATGAAAATGTTGGGAGGAATTGTTTTTGAAGTTTGAAGGAGTGGAGAAGTTGGTGGTGCGCAGAGTGAGAGAAGTATTTTGATTTTAAAAAAGGGAAAGGGGGACCAAGAGACCTAGTCCTTAACAATTGCATGCAATAACTGG